GATCTATTTAAAAACGAACTAATTTGCTTTATTGCAACCATCGAATCCAAGAAGCATCTGTTAGCTGGTTTAGAGCTGTTTAGAAGAGTTCACCTGAAATCAGTCATGAAAAAGACCCTTTAATCTTGAGGTCTCGTGGCGATTACGGCACACAGGAAACTTCACACATTGTTAACTATTTTGCATTTTTGTATCGAAGTAACATGTAATTCATTTGCTGCTTGAGGATATACTAAACAGATAGAATAAACGTCCGGTGTATACATTCAAATTAAGAAACTTTCTATGAAACGTTTTGGAAATTAAACCCTGATTAAATACCAGTTGAACGAAGTATTTTTGATCAACTTGGTATTCAGAACCATAAATTCATATTATATAACGATACTGAAGAAGAACAATAACAAATGATTAGTATCCAGTTCAGAATCAAATTATTGTAAAGAATATAAACTTGTGTTTTCTTAAAACCGATTACAAACATAGCCAATACTTTGTACTACACTTATTGGTTTTCTAGATTAGAAGCAAAGTCATTTTAGAGGATTATATGAATATGATGTTTGTTAAACGATCCTGTATTCTTTTTCCGATTATATAATCTGAAGCATAAGATAACATTAAATGTTAAAAGATTATCAATTGTGAGTAAATGCATAATTTAGTAATAAAAAGGGAGGTTCACATACGTTTTTATTTAAATCGATCTTATACGAATAACTCTTTTGATAAAACAACTATTTGAAAGTCATACTAATTAATGTAATAAGCCTATTTAAAACCAATCTTTTGTTGACAGTCTTTTACGAAAAGAGATAATTTTCTGTTCCCAATATATCAAAACGTTCTGACATATTAGCAATAGTTATATTAGCATACTTGTGTTGTATGTAGTTCAAATTATTATTTTTAGCTATTTGTTTCTAATTATATCAACCTATTGAATCTAATAAAACAAAAGATATAAAATATTTCTATAATGTTCAGTCCGGAATAATTCACTATTCAACACTCTCATAGATATGTATTAAAATTACACTTGGAAAATCTTTTTCTTTCAATTCTCCCTTATTAGATTCCGCCTTCATTAACAGAAAATAGTCTAAAATTTCAAACAGAAAAGAATAATTGGAATCTGTCAAATCGGTTGAATAATAAAGTTATAACCACTTGTTTAGCCATAACGGAACATGGGAATTTCTTGATTGGTTGTAGCAATGGTCAAATTATACATCGCGGACGTACACCTAATCAAACAGTTTATCCTAAACTATTTTCACGAATATTATGTTGTTCAGCTGTACAGACAGTAGAAACGCATCCAGATGCAGAATTACATATATTTATTGCAGGTTGGATATTTTATTGTATAACTTATGCATACAAATGGCTATATTCAATTGCATAACTTTTAAAAATTGTCTAATTTCTTCAGACAGAAAAACTATCCTATGTTTTCTTTAGTTGTAAGAACTTTGTATTTAGTAGATATTCAAGCGTGTTATTTGAGGTTGAAATGAAATGCTTACGGTTATGATTCGCTGAGTAGCAGTCAATATCATTTTTTCTAATTTTTAATGCTAGTTCAGTTTTTTCAGTTCAAATACGTTGTGGAAACCGGACTAATTAACTAGTCATCACACTCCACTTGATGGTTGAAGGGTAACAAAGGAAGCCCTAGATCTAACAATTCACATCTACAATGTTGAGGGAATTGTTTCTCTTAGTGGGATTTGAACGCAAATATCCATTAGCGTCAGTGAGAAGAATTGATATTCAGTCTTTTAGACTGTAGCTAACTCCCTGTAGGATCGAAACGTTTACACTAATGGGTAAAATAGAAAAAATCCTCAGCATTTCATAGATGTTTTACGTAAATCTGACAAGGCGGTGTATCGCCTGCACACGTGTAAACTTGATTTTAAGAAGTAGGTACAAGGATTATTTGAAACGAAGAAAGTAAAACAAGATTCGCGGGACAAAATAAATTCGATCAGTGTCAAGGTCTGTCATCAACTTCAAACAGCCTGAAATTACAAGTGATACTATTGAACACAAAAGTTCGTGATATCTTAGTTAATGAGTCTGAGATGAATGATTAAAACAGAACTGAAAATCATGTTTATGGCGACTGTTATGTAATCATTTATCTTTTCGTCGTGATTATTTAATAGCGAATAAAATCTTATTTTGACTGCTTCCTATGTCTAGCTTTTGTAAGCATATTATTAATCGTCAGTTTTAATTACGTTTAGTATCACCTCATATTTTTTCCGCTCATTATGGTTCCATTCCTAACATTCATCTCAAATTCATTACCTAAAATATCTTAAATCTTTATGTTTATTAGTATCACTTCTTGTAGTTTCAGTCTGTTTGTAGTTGACGAGAAACCTTCACACTGACTGAATTCATTTTGTCCTGCAAATTTTATTGTTCTTTCGTTGTTCAAATCTGATGACAGTGAGTTCAGTCGATCAACTAATTTAGATGGCTTTGGATTATGATTTTTATTTCCTTCAATTATACATTTTAATGATTTTGAGGTGTGATAAATTGAGTGAACTTATTGAAATAAGCCGAAAATGGATGATCGGTCGAAGAGTATAGATATATGACAAAATAAAAGGCAATCGGATTTTCCAAATTTTAATGAAGCGCACAAATAAGACTGTATTTCTTGTATTAATGAGATCAATAGAAGTTTATTGCATTAATTAGAGTTGAACTGAAGCCTAGTAACAATGAACTACCGAGATTAGATGGTGGTTGGAGGTAGTCGACAGGAAACCCTGGACCCAGGTTTCGTGCTGTTTGGTACTCGTCAGCAGAGTGTACCTGTAATCTTGAGGGACCTGATGCTCCCTGGCGGATTCGATCCCGTATCACCCAGCTTCACAGTCAGAGATGTTACCACTAAGCTATCCGAGCCGTGACTAACCTCCTGTAGGACTGAGATGTAATCACAATTGATTGATCACTGGGTGGTGATCAATCTCATGCTTGTCTAGTCCTTATTAGTGCAGATCGAATGCTATCGATCATGTTGCAATGTGGCCACCAGTCTAGGTGACTCGACACTGCGGGCACTACATACTTTAAAAAAGTAATCCTTTGGAGCGATATGTCCATAGTTGATTAAATGTCCCTGTATAGAACTAGTAATTGTTTTACATTCAAAAAAATATTTTCAATTCGACAACAAAATCTACGAACAAACGAAAGGGACACCAGGTACACCTTGCTGACGAGTGCCAAGTAGTGCGAAACCCGGGTCCAGGGTTTCCTGTCGACTACCTCCAACCACCATCTAATCTCAATATATAGCGCCCGCAGTGTCGAGTCACCTAGACTGGTGGCCACATTGCAACATGGTCGATAGCATTCGATCTGCACCAAATAAGGACTTGACACACATGACATTGATCACCACCCAGTGATCAATCAATTGTGAACAGTGAACTATCGTTAATCTTTCCTAAAACTCATTAAGTAGTTTATTTTGAATTTAATGATAATTGAGTTACATGAGAGAACTCAGTAATATTTATAGTTTGGTCTATTTCAAGTTTGATTTTTGTAAAAACTACATTTTCCTGAAGTAGTTAAAGTACTTCAAAGATTTTCGAACGAAATCCATTACAATGCCTACTGTTATATTCACAAATACCTGTAGTGCACAGATATATACATCTGTAGTCAACTGAACATTTGCTTGAATAAATTGGATAATGAATTTAAGTAATAAGAAACAATTGTTTATCTAAAGAGTTTGATGAGAAAATCATTCTGGCAAATACCAATATTATTGTTGTCAGGTATCAAGAACATAGACTTAATGTTCCTGCACATATGAATCATATATGAATATGAAGGTCACTAGACAACTATGACTGATTACTCAGTTCATTATAATAATTATGCTGAATATAGAATTGGTATTTAATGTTTATACAATAATCACGTATTTGAAAATGAATGAACAATGAGATTGACAAATTAATTTAAAAAAGTAAAAGCATGAGAAAAAAACAAAGAAAAAATATTACTTAGCGTGTCTGTGTTTTTATTTGATGTTAAATGTGCTCAATAATAATAATATAATTTTACTACATCTACAATTTTGAATTAAACGAATAAATAGCTGATATTGTAATTCACGATTGAATGACCACTAAGTAGTGAATAACGTTTTGATTTACTGCTCATGTCATTCATGTATGTCAAGTACTTCTAAGTGCCAATCCAATCCTGTCGATCCAGTTGCGGTACGACAGCTAGTCTAAATGACTCGACATCACGTCTACAATGATGAAATGAAAGTGGTAGTTGAAAGCAGTGAGAAGTAGACCCTTAACTAAGTTTTTGTGCAGTTTTAGACTCCAACAAAATGTACTTGGGGGAACTGATTCCCCTGACGGATCCCATTTCACATCAACCGGTGACACAATCTGAAGGTTATCACTGATCTATTCTAGCAGCAACTGACAGACTGTAGAATGATGACGTATTAATAATTGATCGACTACTACGTATCGAATCATATGTTAATTTACTTATCTTTACCTTATCAAACAAGAAAATAGAGTGGAGGTATGTATGTGTTTATTGAGAGAAGTTACAAAATATTTACATAACACATATACATAGCTTTCAATCGTCCATTTGCATCTCTTGGTTTGTTCTCCAATCTGAACTGCTTTATCGACTGGCCTCCAAGTGTTCTGTCAATGCCGTGTTTCTGATGTACTGAAACTCTTCACTCTGTGAGACAAATGTTGCAAATTCGACACCGCGTTCCCCTACACACTAATTACAAACATTCTTGTGAGTAGTGTCCGCTACAACAAGACATCATTAACTACGTACTTACTTGCGCATGTTACCTGTCATGAAGAAGCGTAGGCCGCTCACCAGCATTCTCCAACGAACTCTGTCGGGGGCGATCCTTTCCAGTTGCCATTCGTCCTTTTCATATCTGCTTCCAATTCCCGATGTACTGTGTTCTTTGGCCTTCGTCTTTTTCGTTTCACCTCAGGATTCCAAGTAAGTGCTTGCCTCGTGATGCAGTTTGATTATTTCCTCAATGTGTGTCCTATCCACTTCCAACATCTTTTCCTAATTTCCTCCTCAGCTGGAAGTTAGTTTGTTCTCTCCCACAGTAGACTGTTGCTGATGGTATCCGGTCATCGGACATGGAGTATTATGCGTAGACAACTGTCCATACATATCTGTACCTTTATGATGATGGTTGTAGTAGTTCTCCACGTTTCAGCTCCGTACAGTAGGACTGTCCTGACGTTCGTATTGAAGATTCTGACTTTGATATTAGTTGACAGTTGTTTTGAGTCCCATATGTTCTTCAAATGTAGGAATGCTGTCCTTGCTTTGCCAATCCTTGCCTTTACATCTGCATCCGATTCTCCTTGTTCATCGATGATGCTATCCAGGTACATGAAAGATTCCACATCTTCTGTATCAAGTGTGATTGGGTTGATGTTCTCCATGTTGTATTTGAGGATGCTGTCACACTAGTTTTCTTCATCTGCATTTGTTGGTGTGCATGGGATAGATGGGTCAGGTCATCTGATAAGTCCGAATCTTCTGAAGACAGCAATAAGGATGAATAAAACGTTTTAGTGGTACTATTGTGTGGTGACAACGTAATACTATCAAATGATTTTATTGAAGATTAACTCATCAATTTCTTTTTTTAATGGACTTTATAGTTTTTGTCTAAAGAATACTTATTTCTGATCCGTATCCAGGGAAGCAATCAGTTATTCATTATTGTCTAATATTTAGCGATCCATATAAATGATCACATAACTTATTGAAGAAATAATAAAAATCCCTTTTATTGCTGGGTACGGTTTACCCGTTAAAGTGAGATTCATATTTGTCACGATCATTTGTTTGGTACATAATTTCTTTCATATTGAACTTGACTATGTAAAACTAATGCTTGTAAGCTGTTGAGAAGCACGACGGAGCCTTAGGAGGCTCTGAAGGAGCAGAAGAGATTCCATCTAATCAGAACTTGGTGGAGCTTTCTAGAACATCAAAGTGACATGCTACGATTGGACAATAGCATAACTCGATGTAACAAAAAACAAATCATTTTCATGGTCTCGTTTTCATTTTTTGATGAAGTTACATTTAATAAAGTTGACAGACACATACAGTACATAGTTTTTTGTCCAAGATCTCACCATTTCGAGAATTGGAGATGGGAATATGACATATTCGGTTTTAACTCTGTAGTCTAAATATTATTCTCTCGCTGAGAAACCTATATGTTCTGAGTTGGTTTACTTCCTGGTGCGCGCAGCTGATTCCAGTAGTAAGATGAAATAGCAGTTAAGTACTGTTCTGCTTTAAATAGAACTCAATAAGATGCAAAATTGCGATCAGTTCAACTAACTAGTGAATGATTCTCATTAATAGCTGTCAAAAAACGGCAGCTTCTAACAACTTAATCGTATGAAGAGTTTTCAGACATAGATTAACTTTCAGGTACGAACCAGCGATTGTCTACACAAAACTAGACATTTCTAAACCATCGCTCAATGGTTTAAATATTGACTTCTTAAATTATTATCTAGTAAAAACGATTTAAAATTAAAACAACTATATTACGATTATATTACAATCCAGTGAGTCATCGTAGAACAAGCGCATTTTTTAAAACGAGTAATATCTAATTGATTATAGCATCAGAAAAAGCTGTTCTCCATGCTTGGTGTTCAAGCGAACAACTGAATGTCGCAATGAATCTCATACTGCAATAATTTCTTTTCATAAATAATCAACCTGGTTAACAAATCAGAAAATGTTCCTTTTTTCTTGTTTCATCTGCATTGGTATATCAAATAACTCACCTGAATAATTCTTTTTTTCTTAAAATATCTTTTATCGTGTGTAAGACGTATTAATCAACAGAATCTTCGAATAGAATTATACCAGCAAAATAAAAATATCCTTTTTCATATTTTCAAGTGTAAAACGGACACAAAAACAAAAGCAAAATAAAAAGATATATGGTCACTTTATAATTAGCTATGGATTATATCTTTCTGTTGATATCTGTGACCCTATTCAATGACTACAATAAGTTAATGCTTCTCCTTTTATATACCAATTTCAACAATGTAATTTTAATAATAATAATAATTATTATTATTTGTAAAATCTGTTTCTATTATCTAGGTTATACAGATGGTAAAATTTGTTTATATAAAACAAATTACTTTCAACCTGTACTTGAATGGGATGTTACGTCATCAGTGCCAATAACAAATTTATCCAAAATAAAACTAACTAAAAATAAAGATGACACAGTAGCACCAATTTCAGAATCAATATCAAAGATTTCAGTTAATCGTTCATTTATTAGTATTCGTAAACTTATTTGGTCAGCTACTCGTTCTTCAGTATTTTTCAGTTTGGATTCAAATAATCAAATAATTTTATGGGATATTGTAAACATATTCAACCTGGCTAATAATTCTTTACTCTTAAATGATACAGAATCTAGCTTGAAGAATGATTATCCGATAAACGTGAACTTGAATGATAAAAAAATACTGTCTTGTCAAATTAATGATATTTGTATAAGTAAAATGTCATGTTCGAGAAATATTAACCGAATTTCATCATCCTCAATAGCACCGATTTCGACTCATTCATCACCTTTATTCATTTTATTCTATCCGCATAAAATTAGCATACACTGGATTAATTCCCGTTGGATAAATGAATCAGTGAACGAAAATACTTTATTAATGAAAACCCTCGATAATTTCAGTAGTATCAGTTAGCCTAAAATTTGATAATTTATACCTATGAATGTAATTTTTATTGATTGGATACTCGATTTCGAGTATTTCTTTATGTTTCTTTATTGTTCATTCTATTGAAGTGAAGTAAGCAGATGTACATAATACTAAATGTAGATGAATGAACCATTATTATTATTGTTTCCTTGAATACGGATCTATTCTTATGTATGAAAACACTTTTCTGTTCGATATTCTCACAGTAATGACTGTATCAACTGTATTTTTTAAACAATTTTAATCAATCCTTCATTGTTCATGAGAAAAAAATAAACAATATATATTTCTTCGTTTTTAGCTAAGAATACTTAGTCGTCGAATACAATTGAAATAAGTTGGACGAAAGTTAGAAGCGGAAGTGGCTGGTCTTTTTCAGTGAAGGGAATATCAAAAGCGTACATCAGCTTGGTATGGGCTTTCTAACCAAACACTATCGATCGAGTTAGCACTTGTGGAGAACTTTCATCGGTTTTTTTCAAACTTAAAACTATGTTCGTCCAAGTTATCCACTGTCCCTTTATCTATTCAATTTCCTTATGAATCTCCTCCTAAAATTCAATCTTTCCCTACTTATTTATTCAGTGGTCTACCTCCTATTAGATAATCTACTCCCCGACTTGGAATATGTGGATGGTATAGTTCTGTTTGTTTGAGACGTCGATACAATATTGAGTCTTCTGATCATCTTGAGAGACAAGGTAAACACGTTTCTTACGCACATACTTCTCCATCTAAATGCAAATGTTTGTTCAGGGACTAGTTGGAATCAAGATTTGGACAGAGAGATGGAGTTGGGCACGTCGATCATTTCACTTATCTTAGATGTTTCATCCGTCTTGATGGGTCAGGGTTTGATGCAATCTCAATACGGAATCATCAATCTCGACTGTGGCTCGCCATCTTACGCCACATATGACATTGAAGTATATGCGTTTCAAGCAAATAGTGAGTAAAGCGCCCAGCGGTGCACTATGTATTATTGCATGTCTATGAAACAAGGTTTACGAAAGTACACAAAAATTGTAGAATGCGTGTTGCTTGTCACAGATGTCTCAGAATGATTGACCACGTGAATGAGTAATGTTTAGGTTAGGTGTAGGATTCGTGGCAAAAGTGGCCAGTCAGTTGATGAGGTTATGAACCTTAATTAACTGAAGTGGCTGGGACAGGTGTGACGTATATTTAATCACCACCTGATTGAACGTGTGCTGTTTGCTGGTGTAGAAATGGGTTGGAGGGAAGCAATGAGTTGTTAAATCAAAATGTGTCACCATTGCATGAAGTCATTGAATGTTGGTTGGCTGGAGTCATGCTGGTGGATGCAGACTACATGTTTGTTATCGACATGATGACCGTGATCAGTGGTTATGGAGTTCGGATGGAGTTGTTGATAATCAGTTAAAATGACGTGAATGAATCCATTCATTATTTTGAATTGTAGTATTTCTTCACACATACCTTTTCATCCTTTTTTTCATACCATATTTTCAATGTCAAGTATCTTCTATAGTCATTGAAATGACTATCTGACCAGGTTCATTTTAAGTTTTGAGACATCTATTCTTTAGAAAAAATGTATTAACAATTATGCTTAAAATTTATGCAGTAAAAGACTTTTTCTGAATGTTACTTGGATCTATTTTTTGTCGGAAATATTTTAAAATGACATCAAAACTATTTATCATTTCTAACACTTCATACTATGTCTAGAAAGCAGCAAGCCAGTTTGCATTTTTAAGAAATGTCAAAATATTATGAGAAATATTTACAATCTTTGTCGCACTATAATTTACCGAATTACAAATAAGTCATTTTACAATCTATAAGGAACAAAAGTTCAATTAAACTTGATAGACTACTAACACTAATACACTATGTTTAGATCGATGTTTTAAGTATTTCATCTACAGAGAATTAATAAAAGGTGAACTCGATATCGTTTCTGGGTTTTTGAATCTTTTTACTAATTTAGGTTTCATCATATCATTTGATGATGCATGAAAGAGACCGTTAGTTTATATCTCTTATGCATATGAACGAAATAGTAACTACACAAAAATCTTTAACTGTTAACAACAACTCATAATTTAAATGAGTGTATATTTAAATATCTTTTAAAATGGATGTGCTGATCATTAATTAAATATAGACCGCTAGGTTTAAACTATTTCCTTTTAAGAAACAGCTGTTATTATTGCTTTTTTTGTTATTTTATTTCGTTTGCATTAAATAAAATGAACAAGACCGCGATTACGTTCGGATGTTAGGTAGTTAGAGGTAATCGGCAAGAAACTGTAGACCGATGTTTCGTGGTACTTGGTGTTCCCCAACAAAATGTACCTGTAATCTTGAGGGAATTGATCTTCTCTGGTGCATTAGATTTCATGTCGTCCAGTTGCGTAGCTAGGTCATTAGAATTCGGTCACCAATAAGAATGACTACCTACATAACACTGATCACTACTAAGTGATAGGTCAATTGTGCACATACTTCCATTTATTTAACTGGAACTGAAAGTGTTATAGGAATCCGTAGTTTGAAAAGTTTTTACATAAGTAACTTTAAAAATATTATTGAGATCACGAACCAATCTAAGTTAGAAGAACATTTAAAATCAGGAAGCATTTGATGGATGTTTCGTCCACAAACCCGTAGTTCCAAAAAATATTAGTCAGCTCATATGTTATGTGGATACTTGTAGTGTTACATATTGCATTTTCACTAGTTTGTCTTTTAATTATACATCTAGAATGTAAACACGAGGATCACTGTATACCGTTAGTCGAGAAACTTAGTCGAATATCCATCGCGCAGTATTTTACCATTATTATGGGGGTTTAATATTTTCTGAACTATACCATACCGTGAGAGGTGTCTAGGGTAATGTTTAACAAGACATGTGATACTGGACAGATCCTAAATTAGAAATGTCCAATGACTTATTCACAATCTAATCAAAGATTCTCATATTTCACAGCAAAATGATACTATTCACTCACTTATTTCAAATCTATTGGGCCATATTTTTTTACATTAGCCAATTAGTGGTACATCAGGATCCTCATTCATCCTTGTTGTTGAGTTACTTAACTAATCTTGACTTGGCCAACTTTACACGTCACAACTTCTAATTAGAATGATGGACTTTGTGATTCACCAATGCACTTGGAGGTCCTTGACTCAGTTTTTATGGGGTTATGAGTGGGAACCTCTGAAAAAACTTAAAATAGAACGCAACAACCAGTGAGGGTTCTGAGAACTTTGGGAGTTTTCAAATTCATATCACTTCCCAAGTAAATTTGCATTTAGTGTTTTGTTGAATAAAGCCTATGTACTAACATTTTTCGTTTCAATATAAAAACCAGTTTAAATGAAATTGTAATTCACTTTGTTTACTGTGATATTTTGGATTCAATTAACAGAAATAATAATTTTTAATATATTTACATGGTGTCTTTGTTAATGTTTTGTAAAGGAATGATAATATATAATTGTATGGATTATTTTTCTAGATTCACTTTCTACCTTTGAAATTTTAGCCAATGAACTAAATTGATCTCAAATGAAATTGTAAAACAAACAAACAATTCAGATAAAATGTTATATTTTGACTTTCAGTACTTCATGAAATATACGTTTGCACATACGCATACAACAGAAAAATAAAGAAACATATTTGGAAATAAAAGATGAATATTCTTCTTTTTTTTACCTAACAGCCTGATGACTTTATAACATTAAGGTTATCTTTATCTTATTTGTTATATCTAATGTATTTGTATGATTTTGTTTCCGGTGAACTTTATAACACACACATACACATTGCATTTTAGATAAAAGGACAGAAGAGAACTGAATAAAAAAAGGAAGAAATCGTGTCAGTTTGTCAGAGAGAAAAGCAAAATAAACTAAAAAAAAAGAGCCAAACATAATATTAACAGTGATAATTAATATGTACATTAAATTTATGCATATACGTGTGCACTTGCGTAATATAATCGATTATTGTGTTAAAAAATGAAAAAAACTGGTAGAAAATTTATCATTCTCATTCTAGATTTTTCTTCTCATAATTTTTTTTTCGTTACATTCAAAATATACTAGAATGAAAGGGTGGAAAGAAAAGAAGAGAACAACTAATAAAAGAGAGTTTACGCTGAACACTGGGTTTACACAGAGAATAGTGCAGAAAAAAAACAATATCAAAGCAGATTGGAATACATTTAGTCAAGAAATGCATCCATCTCTATCTTCTGTGTTAGAATAAAACACCGTTTTTTATACATACATAAATATACATAAACATCTAATCATTTTCACATAAATAAGCACAAAACAGGCATACCATGAAGAGGAATAATAGTAAAAATATACATGCAAGTAACTGAATATTCAACAGTAATAATATTGTTTTTATTAAAAACGAATACAAAGAGTAATAAGAGTATTCATATAAATCAGCCGATACATACATAGTGTAGCTTTTAATTATTTGAAGACAAGAGTTTATTATTATTGAGTTTTGCGGAGTGAAACAGTTTTAATAACTATATTGGCAGCGTTTTAGAAATACTGATCGAATAATAGAAAGAGCAAGGATAGGAATAATTGATATGTTAATATTATTGTTAATGTGTCATGGTGTACAATTATTATTCGATAACCAAAGATCTATTTACTTCAAAAGACGTTTGAAACTTTAGGAAAGACAATACACAAATGGATAATAGTAATAATTATTCTGTTTTGCAAGAAAAAAAATACACTATTGACATCATAATTGTCATCACATCAGAGTAAAATACATAATTATTGTGAATCACTTTGTATTTCGTGTGCAGGCATAAAGTCAAACAATAATTCAAGAAATAATCACCAAGGTAGCTGGAAAATACCGATAAGATTTGACTTCATAACAATATATATATATATATATATATATATATATATATATATGATAAAAACACAATATTCCTCATTGTAACAAGATCATATACTTATTCATACCACATAAATCATTGTATAATTATTCCGAAGTATCGAAAGTGTTCATTTTGTTCGAACTACTTATAACATTAAATGTAATAACTGTTTAAATAATAGCCACTATCAACGCTGTCATTAACAATCCTTGCAAACACCAATTTTACGTGACTAAATATTTTTCGTCAATTATTAGGAAATCTCTTTTACATTTTAAAACAAATACAGATAAGTAGAAGGTGAAACAAAAGAAATAAATAAAAGATTATCATTAGAAATCCAGACACAAAATATTTATACTTGTTGCACAAGTTAGCGGATAAATTATTATTATTTTTTTGAAATACATTAGTCTAGGCACAAAAAGTTTACAGCACTAGTGTTTATGTATATTGAATTATACACTAAGTAAAATAATGTAGAGAGAAGCTAAAAAGCAATTTTTTCCATACAAACTTTGTTTATCTTTGACGTTCACTTGACAAACCACGATTATTGGTTTCAAAGTAAGGTTGGATCGATAACTGGAAGAAATCGCCTACAAAATTGTGCTGAAATCTAGATCAGTGTGTATTCATACAAGATCTAGAGAAAATGTTCAAAGTAACATTCAATAAAATGTATAAAGCATATTCTTTCTCGATCTTCTAATTCACACACTTATGTATGTACCGAATCATACACACATTTAAATCTAAAGTAAAACTCATTCGCTCAGCGTCACCGGATCGATCGAAGACAATAAAAGACAGTACAATGTCTGTACAAAACGACTGCACACGAGGATAAGTAGGTGAAACAAACTCATTACTCATGGATAGAAAAACTCAGTTTATATATGACACAAAAGGCCCACAACAGACAAGAATAATTTCATAATATGTAAGGGAATAGCTAACGTTAGGATATTTTTAGAGAATTCGCAAGGTTTACATATAGATAGTTAAAGAAGTCCCTAGGAGAAGACTATGCATACATACCAAAGTAAAGACTTTCTGATAAATAAATTATTAATGCTGTCGACAATAATTCAACATAATTTTAAATACCTAAAATTCTTCTTCACCATTTATTCACTGAAATAAAATTTGAATAATAAAATGAACCAGTAATTTACACGTTTCTGATTTTCTGTTTTATCACTGTTTAGTACATTGAAATTAGCCATAACGTGTCAATCGATATATGTGATGTTGTGCCCTACAACCCTCTTGTGCAACTTCCAATACATATGCAATACACAATAATACTTCATTTGTTAATTTATTTGTCAGGACCTAAAATAGATTTTGTTTTTAAAAAGAAAAGAAGAAACAAGTATAATTAAATATGTTATGATAACTCGAATATAATGATTAAAAATTTTTGATTACCAATGAATTTAAAATCATTATATGATGTGACTAACCTTATAATACGCTATACTAATAATATCACGATTATTTATATTAACTAATGCAGTTGTAAAAATAATTACCACTTTCATTACGCTTGTTTATTGAGATGATAATCTTCAGATAAATTGATAATGGCATTTTTCATTCGAATAAAATCTCATTTGGTTTTTGTTCTGCTGAAAACATTGTCTTGTTGTTTAGACTTTAACGTTGACTGAATTCTACACAGATTTACGATGAATTTTTTTTCTTACCGCAAAGAATTAAGTCACTTTCAAACATAGAATTCAGCTTACCACATCATCTGGAAATAGTTTAGTTTTACTATTACGTTCGCCATTAATGTGTCTGAAATCCCCCCCTCCAAAAAATTAGATGTATTTCCTCAGGCAAAATAAGTTTTGGCGAATAAGGAACATCAGTCTGGAATAGTTATTTTTAGAAATAAATTGTCCTCTTTCATCAGGATAACATAAAAGTAGCATAATTGAAATACTTCAAAGATTTAAAACATTGTGAATATCGGTACCTGACATGTAAATAAAGTTTTAAGAAAACGAGCTGTTTTATGAACAGATTAGCGGTACCATAATTTAAAACATTTTGAAATCAGATCATCTTATAATTATGTTTCTTGAAAAAGTTATTTTCTAACTAAAAATATCAAGTTATGAAAATCGGCAAATGCTAATTTCTGTATACATGGACTAATATAATCACCTTCTTTAGTAAGAGAAGTTCTTCATTATCTTTTTTCGAAGAACAGTCTACTGGAATGTAAATCACAAATAGAAATCGGCTGTAGGGCTACTACTATAATTAAACTTTTTTAAAATAAATAAAGTTACGATTTCCCACTTTGTTTTACCCAGAAAATCTTTGGAGAATCAAACAGATTTATATTATGACGCAATACTTCAGTCAGTTAATGAAATGATGAATTGTTGAATTATACATTAAAAATATGTTCCAGATTAATTTGATTTTATCACACTGGCAGATAAATATACTTTTTCATCATAATTATATAAACTAGGATTCTTTTATTAGTGGAGTATCTACAAACAGTCATCCAGTTTGTAAAAGATTCTTTATGTAAAGAAAACAGTTAACCGTAAATGAATTGCATGTCAGTAAAATCTCTCACAAACTAATAAACCACATGAAACAGTGAACATTCAGTCAACTGTGAATCATTTAAAATGTGATGTAATCTTTCACTGGTCCAAGTTGATATATCCTACATCAGTACAGGGATAAAGCAAATTAAGAGGTAGAAGAGTAAAAGAGTTGACATAACACTACTCAATGTTGTTGAAACTAAATATTAGGAACATAGTTATACCTGAACGAATGAGCCTGAAAAGCAAATAATACTAAACTCATTTATTTGATGATCCAATCATTGAACAAGAATTGTTTCGAAGAAACGTATTACTTACTTTCGAATATCATTCCTAGTTAATCTTCATTTGTAAAAGCTCAGAAACGTCGTTTGTATATTTAGTTTAAATAAGCCATTAGTTGAGATTTTGAGATGATAGTAAATGAGTGGTAAAACGATAAACTAATCGTTAATCGGCTCTCATTTTTACAGATCACTGGATCTCCAGTTTAAAATCTGGTAGAATGAGTGGGATGTGATCGAAATTTCAGGCCTTCTAAACAGGCTCACAAACTAGGGGTATATTAATTATTATTAGCATTATTATCGTCTTATCATATTTATAGCTTTGCTAATACTACTGGTTCAAAAGACAATGGTGGTATTATTACCAAAATTTGACTTGATAACTTAAAATAAATTGAGTACTGGAGAAATTATTGATAAGGAAAGTAATATGTTTGTAATATCTCAATGAGCAGCGAAACTAAATTTCCTGATATTTCCTGACTCATGGTAAGCCACTTCTTCAAAAAATAAAATCGTATACAAATTAAATTAATTCTAAATAGTGCAAAGAAATTGAATTTCTATTTACTGAGAAAACCACTTAGCACTCTAGAAATTGGCCCAGTTGTAGACTAACTAATCGAAAAACTTCCAGAAAATAACTTTCATCCACAGCTTCAAGAAACATTATATATTTTTACAAAACGAAAACTCTTCCTACTTAAAGTTTCACAAGAGGAATCGAGAGCCCTTTATCCACTATAAAAATCATTATTAGTGTTAAAGCTGCAAAAAGTAATACAGCTGTAGTCATGAATAAAAGGGATTATAGTGGAAAAGCTTTGAACACCTGTCCATAGGATCTCAACAAAAGGTTGACATTAAAAGTTATCACATTTTTAGTAATTTAGTTCAACTGGAGATAAACTAACTTTCGAAAAATAAACTAAAGCTTTCTATTGGTGTCGCCTTATGGTTTACTTGATGTCCCAAATCATGCACTATATCACGATTTTATGGTCTACCCAAAATGTATAAGCCAGATATCCCACTAAGATCTATAGAAAACTTTACAAACAGTCCTTCATATGCATTATATAAAAATTTAAACAGCGAATCGAGGCCACTTCAATACAAGTTACATAATGTAATCAAAGATTCTTATGAATTTAAGTGTGAAACATAGGAATTAATTATCTAAAAGAATGAAACTATGATAAGCTATGGTATTTGGTATAAATGTACCAGTATTCTAATTGATAAATGCCTATAATTTATTGGTAGTTTAGTAAAGAATGATTATACTTTTTCTGACAGATGTCCTTCAGGCATTATTTTAGTCATAAATTCCCTAAAACTGTCAAAACTCAATCTCATTTACCTTTGATCGGACACCATTTGAACAAACTAAGGGAGTGACAATGAGATCCTTAATGCTCTCAACTGTAGCTAAACTATTCGCGTTTCATATAGAATCAAGTATTTTCACCAATGATATTGAATTACAAATTTGCAGTAGATATGTGGAGGATACTTTTGTCATCATAGGAAAGACGTACCTATGATCTTTTGTAAGCTGATTAATACACTCTCATCCTCACTAAATCCACTTATGTGAATGAGCACTGTGAGCTGTCATTTCTAAGTAAGATTCTAAACCTAACCATCTATCGTAAATCAACAGACTCCAATCGTCATACTGATTTCAGTTCAGCATATCCAGTCAGTGTAAAAACTCTTAACTCAAAAGTTTCTGGAAGAACGATCAATATTCATGCAAATGAAGAGGACATCCAAGAGGAACAGAAAAAAATAATGAACATCTTACAGTCTAATAATTTTTTGTGATTGTTATTAAAAATTTGCTAAAATGAGACGATTTATTATTAAGTAGTAGCTTGAAGGAAATACCATCGATTGGTACCATGGTTCTAACCTACCCCCATGATACAGCAAAGGAGCTCTAGACGATCTTAAAACGATTCAGAATTAAAGCATACTACAAAGCAACCAATACCCTTCGAAATGTTTTAGTCCGCATAAACGAGGAGATCCTATTAATGTTAATACAGAACTGTGTCTACAGATTACGGTCTATCGATTTTGATGCCTTCTAAATAGGAGGGTCATCTCGTGAAATCTTGACTTCAGCCATTGAACATATAAGCTACATTAAAAACCACCTAATAATTTTTTAGAACTTAAAAATATCCAAAGTAAATCAAAAATAGCAGTGTATGCCATCTTCAATAACCATCAAGTTGTTATTAAAAATATCAAAATAATACAAAAGGGCTTCTCCAACTACAAAGAAAGACGAGTAGCTGAACCTTTCCATATATTACTAAATCTTACTGCTTTCAATCGGAAAGAAGTTTTTACCATCCATTTAAGTTGGTTGATTTATCCTAGCTACATCTCATAACGTTAGTGCACATGCAAATTCAACTCAACCATTCACATTACAAATGTTAAATTTTTCACACCCATTAACATTAACACACATATACAATCATATCACATGAAAATCTCATCGACTAAAGTGATTTGACGTTGACTCGGTCGAACCTATTTTCGACTGATTGCACTAAATATTTTTGTGTCATTTTTCTGCATAATTGAAACCTGGATTTATATACTTAGTTTTTTTTTCGAAGATGTAAGTTATACTGAGTCAGAAAATGATTGAAAATTTAATTTTCCTAGTCAATGGGACATTACAGATTTATTCATTTTATTATTAATATTGGAGTTTGTTTAAAAAGAAACTTTTCATTGATAGATTTGTCCAAACAATACAAAAGTAATTTTAATTCATATAAAATAATAACGAATGAAAATGCTCTCGATTTATAGAAAAAGGACACCTAATATTACATGATAATTCGGAAGATAACTATCAGCCTAATAAATGTAAACTAGATTACAAGTATAGTGTACTTGTTTATAGTCCTAATTCTAAAGCGAATAGTAGTTGCCTCAGTAATTGCTGTGGGTGTAGAGACATAACTGTATACTTGAACATGTTAGTATTAAAAAAACGAAGTTATGACGAATGAAGTGTACAGAAACAATAAAAGCTAAATATTTTAGGGATATATGTATATATTGTTAAGCTTATCAAATCTATACATAAATATTAACTTGTATAATTGAATAGACGTCGGTTTATAAACAATTGAGATTAGTATTTCGATACGAAATTATCATTAGGGTTTGGAAAGTAATTCTACAAGCAAACGTAATGACAACTGTTTATAATTTGTGGACCAAAGTATTCCTGTTATGAAATTAAATCAATGCATAAAATTCATATTCCATAATGTTGAGTATTTGATATTTTACTTTTAAATGACAAATTGCAACTAGATTGAATAACTTTTGTGGTATATGATTAATACACAGAGGTAGTTTATCGTTAAAGTATTAGTTCCATGAGAACATATGAATTAGTAATAAACATGATGATGTAGTAGAGAGATAATGATACTAGATTACGTAATATGAATCATAACAATGAAAGATTGTGTGTATGGAAAAGAGGTCCCTTTGCCGAACTTCGTGCTTTTAATGTTTAAAGGGCAATTATAGGTCAACAGAGTCAAATGGCTCTTAGATGATATTTGAAGCAAGAATATAGATCTTTTTTCGAAATAAATGTGATTTTAGATAGAAAAAAAAGTTTATTAGAATATTAGACATCGTAATGTATGATTAGGAAAGATTATACTTAATTGACTGATCATCGTCATAATGACAACACCTGTTATGAACTAGAAAGCAAATATATGAAACGAATTTCTCGTCATCATTTAATATAACTCAAGAAACATTCAATAATGGTAAGCTGATTCTTTTGACATTGAAAGCTTTAAACCGATAAAAATACATTTCTTTTTTCGTATTAACTGGAAGAAATTAGCGTTGTACGTATTTCTTTGCAAATATGACATACAAATCAAAAGCTGAATAAAATTCTCATGGATAACTAACTAAATCGACTTTCATTTAATCTAGTATAAATGAATGAAATCTGTAACATTAATAACACACCTCTAGATTCTGGAATTAGAAAATGTGGATGGTGAATATAGCAAACGACTAAAGATTAAGAAGTTATGTTGACAGCGTTTTGA